GTAGCAGTGCGCCACCGGGCCGGCCCTTGGCTAATTGCTCTTGATAGTACTGGGAGTACTATGTTGAATAGAAGTAGCAAGAGTGGGCATCCTGCCATGTCGCAGATCTTAGAAGAAAAGCTTTCAGTTTCTCCCAATTGATTATGATATTAGCTGTGGGTTGTTCATAAATAGCCTTTATTATATTGAGAAACTTTCCTGCTTTACCTAAACTGTTAAGAGTTTTTATCAAGAAAGGATGTTGAACTTTGTCAAATGTTTTTTCTGTGTCAGTCGTTAAGATCATGTGTTTTTTGTTTTTCAGTCTGTTAATGTGATGTATCACATTAATTGATTTGCATATGTTAAACAAGCCTTGCGTGCCAGGTATTTAAATCTGTTTCTTATATACAGTACATAGGTGGGTTTGTTTTTAACTCAATCTGACAGTCTCTGTCTTTCAACAGAATAATTCCATTTATTTACATTTAGTGGCAATTGATAACACTGTAGTTCTGCCAGCTTATACTATTTTGGTTATTTATTTTACTTTGCTGATGCCTCTTTATCCTTTTCCTTGTTTTTGCTGGTTTGATCAAATTACCATCTGTTCCCCTTTTTTCTTGTTAATTTTTGAATTCTACTATATTTTTCCATTTTATTTATGACTTCTTTTCCTTTCTTTCTGCTTATTATCATGCACGTTTATTACTGTTATATAAAAAAAATCAACTGTTTGCCCTATAGAAATGCTTCACCACTTCTTCCTTTCCTTCCCCCAATAAGATCTTTTAGAATAATTTTATTTCCCAATTCTCCTCCAACCTCTTCACACCCTCCACTTACATGAAGGTTTTTACCACATTATATTTTTCTTCACCCTCACTTTAATTTCTAGGTTTTGAGTAGATAATTTGGTACTCTTTGTTTCAGGCTAATACTAGAATTTCCTTTGCCGTATGTCTCTTCCATTTCAATAATCACATTTTAGCCTTTATATTATAGTCTATCAATATCCAATAGGTGTATATATACATATTTCCATAGCCTATCAGTATCCAATGGATATCCAATTGATATTGATAGACTATCTGGAAATGTATTATATATATAATATATAAGTACATAAATACATATGAAATTATATAAATATAAAATATATAATATAAATATATAGTATAAACATATATTCATTGTAACTGTGTTCCTCTGTAATCATACTCATATATATTTTATTTTATGCACCTAAAAACATTCAGAGAAGTGGTTTATGGCACATAAGAAAAGGCTAAGACTTCCTACCTTAGAAAATCCCAGATGTCCCTACAACAATGGTAATTGTCCCTACAATTACCATTTCTAAATCAATGACTCAACACCCACTTTTTTTCCTCCAATCCAGATCTCTCTTGAATTCCAGATCCACATATTTACATACAAATACCTACTTGAGAATCCCAAGTGATGCTTTAAAGGAATCTCTAACTCAACATGTCCAAAACCAAACTCTTATCTTCCTCCCCAGTCTGGTTCTTTTCCAATGAAAACTTTCTTGGAAAATGTCTCTGAGAAAGCCAGAAGTCTAGCAGTCATACCTGGGTCTCATCTCCCTTGCCTCCATACCTAATCAAGATCTGGTTTTATCTCCTAAGCTTTGCTCATATCCGTCTACTTTTCTCCATAGGCTGGAGGTCATTGGTGATCCTACCCGTTTGAGTGGAATGGGAGGCGCACAGGTCAGACAGGCATGGATTGATGAGTAGTCAGTCGGTGGGAGGCACAGAAATGGGAACAGTAAATACGGACAACTCCTTTGGAAACTGTGGACAAAGAATCCTGGAAGATTTTGAAAGATGGTCTTCTTTCATTCCTAACTCCTTCCTTAATTCAGCCACACCCCTGGATCAGAAAACTGCTGGCACTGGTAAATAGGCAGAGCCTCAGACCTCATGCTGAGCCTTCACAAAGTTGATTAGCATAAAACACCCCCAAGTGGGGATATGAAAGAGTTTGTGCATACTGGGAGGTGAGAGGTTCCTTGTAACATCCTAAAACTAATTCTACAAGGCATGCATCTAGACAGATGGAATAACTTCTTTATTGATCTCCTTCATCCACCCCTGCTCTCCTCCAAACTGTTCTCCATACTGCTGCCAGGAGTCTTTTCAAATGTAAGTCTGATCATATTTGAACTCCTTTCCCTGCTTTCCTTGCCAGTTTTTTTCTCCCTGACTCTCCAAATTCATGCTCTGTACCATAGTCACTTCAGACTTCTTTTAATTCCTCAAATACATTATGGTTTCTTCTATTACAGGCCTTCCTATATGCTGTCCCCTCTGCTTGGGATGTTTCCATCCTCTCTTTACTTAGTTTACTTCTACTGATTCATCAGCTCTTAGTTCAAATGTCACTTCTTCAGGGAAGTTTTCATTGCTCTCCAAGACCAGTTAAGACTCCTGGTTGTATGCTCTCAGCACATCCTGTACTTTTCTTTCAAAGTACTTGTCACAGTATTACACACTTGTTTTTGTGATTATTTGATTAATATCTGTCATCTCTAACAGACTGGAAGCCTTAGGAGGGCAGGAAGCAGGCTTCTTTTCATACCACAGTATCCTCAGCCATGATAGCGTGATAGATATGAGGTGTAGCACACAGAAGATATTCAATAATGTGTGTGTATATGTGTGCATGTGTATGGCTGGCCAAGTGTTTGGATATGCGAAGCAAAGCAGAACTGGACTGTGGTGACCTCATAAGGAGACATCACACTGAGTGGCCCTCTCAGAGCAGCTCATCTGCCTACCTCAAGGACATCTCTCTGGTTGGGCCACTGTCATCTGCAACATTTAATAGGATATACCACCTACTTGTTTGGTTTCTGAATCATCTGAATCCACCCTCATTCAGCAATGTGGACTATCAGCTTTCAGAGACAAAAGAACAACCTTGAAATAATTGTCGTTTATTCATTTGACCAATATTTATCCTATGCCTACCATGACTGTATTCAAACACTGCTGGGGATTGGAAAACACCAATGAATGAGGCCTGGTTATTATTTTCAAGGAGTGTATAGTTATGAAGCACAGTCAGATATATAAACAAATTATAACTCCCTCTTTTAAATCACTAATATTACAAGACATGCTCAAAGTTTTAAAGGATCACAGAGAAGAGTGACTATCAAAGCACCTAGCAAAACCCTAGCTAAAAGAAGTGCTATTTAGAATGACTACCCAAGGGACATACTTTTCAAACCTAAGCTATAACTTTGGACCTGTTTCTACTACAAGAAAGCAATTTACCACAAAGACCACAGTAGACAACACCTTAAAAAATAACCATCACTAGGTTACTTTTTATGGCCTTGGCTTTTATTGGATGTAACAAGAAATATCCATATGAATTTTGCTTTTGTATTTGTTCAAATCTTCTCGATTGTTTTATTATGTCATTCACTGGTTCCTAATAAAGTCACATGAGAAACTAACTTTAGAATTTAGTGATACAGGAAAAAAAACCCTATCGTCTATTTTCCTTGATGAACTAATTCCTTTCAGATGACAAAATCTATTCAACATGTAATGTGTTTTCATTTTTGCCCTGGCATCCAAGAATCTCAAAACCGAATTTCAAATTCAGTTGCAGTCATGCTATCCCCAGAATATTTGCGATTTCCTTTTCCTCTGGCCCTTATGTTCTCTTTCTTGCTCCCTAGCCTATTGTAAACCTCCTTTATGTTCTTATGGACACAAGATGGGATAAAATAACTTAACATTTGTTATGCTCAGTGATTTTAGAATTATTTCTGCTATTTTACAAAGATAAATGCAAAAATACATGACCTATGTTATGATTTTTAGAGAATTTGGAGAAAATAAAGACGACCTAGAGAAAAGCAACAGAAAAGGGACAAAAAATGGGACTGATGTAGTATACCTATATTATCCAACTCAAATAAATATTGGGGCACATTGATCTGGTATTTGGGCTAAGAAGAGAGTATCAGAAATTTGGTCTGTTCTGGAAAATCCCAGAGATATTTGAATACAGATCCCAGGAGGCATGATCATTATTTAATATATGTGAGTAGTTACAGAAAGGCTTTAATCTCTTTCTGGATTACAGATCCCTTTGATGATCTGTTGAATGCATTGGAACTGCTCCCCAGTAAAACACAAGCACCTACAGTTTCTGTAAGCAGAACTCTCCTGTTAGCTATTCACTTTTTTCACAATATCAAAAGCACTTGCCAGCTGGCACTGCTATAAAGAATTCAGATAGACCTGAGGAAGAACCTGAGAAGCCAAGTTAGACGGGGAGACTGGCAAATCAGGTGTCAGCTGAAGTTGTTAACGCTCTGACACCATTCCTAGATGGTTCAAGTCAGGAGGTTGTTTTCTGTTTGCTTTTAACTTTTGAATAACAGACCTCTTTGATGAGCTGATTAAGGTATGGGTAGGCTATCTCAAAAATACATCCACAACTCGCCCCTTCCTCCAATTTTGAGCATAATTTCATGCGATTCATGGACTTTCTCATCCTCACATATCCAACTATGTTTTAGTGCAGACTTCCCTGGACTCGGCGGAATGCCCTTGATGACCTTTTAGAATCACCCTGTCTTTTATCATGAGGGACAAGAGTCGCCTAGGTTACCGGTCCGGGAATCACCCGACCCCCGCGGCCCCTCACCAGACCCCTCCAAGCGCTCCCCTCCCCCAAGCCCGTGCGGCGCAGGTGCGAAAACCTAAGGGGCCACCCGGGCGCAACAACTCCGATAGGGAGTGGGGGAGGGGCCCGGGATGGGG